ATAGTATACAATAATAATAATACTTAATATCAACACTATTCGATATTAATATTAACCATGTTCAATATTACTACTATTCAATAACACTAATACTTAATACCACAGAAATAAATTTCAAAACTAAGCAATTACAGCAAACTTCCAATTCCTTAAAAAGGCAGAACAAGAAAGCTAACGGAAACAGATAAAAATTCCCAATAAAAGAATCAAAAGAAAAAACTGCAATAAATCTGATTCAACGACCGAACAGTCCATTTGTCAAGCGTCAAGATCACGATCCTCGAGTTCCGACGCGACGCGACGTTACGGCTCGATATCAGAGTATCCGCGGAACCGTATTCCGAGCGAATGAAAATCGTCGCGGAACGCGACCGTGCCCGCCGCCTTCGATGGGCCGCGTAACGTCCGTAAATCAGGCTTATCGTCACGATCCCGCGCCGGATTCTTGAGCTTAGGTAATACAAAGTATGGTTTATTACCGTGAGACTAAGCCCGGCCGTGTAATTGTGCCCAGACGCGTTTCGCTTTACAATGTATAAGAGGGACGATAAATCTCCGTTCGCCGCCGCCACCGCCGTCTTCGGAAATGGTAGTTAATCAATCCGCAAGCTTTCCTTGCTAAAAGATAAAAGACTGGCCGGAAGAACGAGAGGTTTTCCACGGCTATCTCTCGCGAAACGAATTATCGTGAGGACCTTCCTACGCTGAAAGATCTTTGTGGAATGATTGTATTGAATGATCTTATTGATTGTGAATTAGGGACTGGGATATTTTGTTAATGTTGCTATGTGTTGATTAGTTACTAGTGATTTTTGAATGTTTGTGTGTTTACAATATTTCTTGGTATGTTAGGTATAAGAAATATTTTTGTGAATCAAGTTCTAGGATAGAAATTGGAATGACTAGTTTCTTGTAGACACTGTTTGAACAGTAATACCTAAAGTCAACTTGCATAAGAATCTACTGAAAAGCGAGCCAATTAGAATTTTAGGTCAGCGTAGAATGCATAGAATATAAATAGAATGGAACTGATTCTGAAGTTAACTCGACATTTCATATAATCAATCATTATTCGTTTCAAATTCAAATGTTTCCCACTATTCTGAAGCATCCCATTTTTACCCCCAAAGCAACAAATCCATCAAAACTAACACTAAATATCTCAAAACTCGAAATAGTCTTTAGTATAATCATACACTTTCCCTCTAAATAACCAAGTCTATTATCAAAAACTTCACTAACTTTCATATCCAACAACCTAACCTCTAAATCCCTTAACGACATCGAAATTCCCCATCGTTAAACCATTAAACCAAAATAAAAATCCGTAAACTCCCCTCCACCAAAACAACTACAAGAAAACAAAAAAATGAACAAACAAAAAGAAGGTTCAAATTAATCTCCGTTTGGGGGCGCCGCGGGTAAAGGGTCGACGCGTGACACGGTAAAGAGGGCAAACATTTGGATAACCGGGATAGTGACATTTCCGCGTCGCGGGGTCCCCGGCGTGCCGCGTCTATTAACGGCCGCTATTTGTATGTATAATGTTCCGTTTCGCGACGCTTTTCCATTTCCCGGAGTTTCCACGTTCCCACTACCATCGCCGCCGCCACCGTCATTGTCGTCATTGCCCTTTTTCTTCCCCCTTTGTCCCGCCGAGATCCTTTCTTTGTCCGTCGCCGCCGCGAAATTACGTTTTAATTCAACGCCGCGCGACCCGCGACGGAACTGACGGACATGCGGCTACCGCGTAATATTTTTCGGCCCGCGAGGAAAGGGTGGAGGAAGGACTCTTTATGAAAAGCTCGGGGACGCGTGAATAAGTCCGTTCCCGGCCTTTGTTCTTCTTCCGCGCCGGTTATTGTCAGATTGCCCTCCCCAACAGAACCCATTCGTGTTCCCATGGAACATTTTTTTCGGTGAATTTCGGACAGTTTTCTGGGCGCGGGCAATTTTTGAAAGGGTTTTTTTGGGGGGCGAAGTTTAGTCGTTTGAGTGAAGTCTTTCAGAGATTCTTTTGAAGTTTTCCTCCTTTTTTTCGTTTCTAGACGGAGTTTTTAGAGGGAAGTGGTGTTTAGAGAGTTAAAAATGGCTATTTGTTCATTTAACATAATTGTTTATTTAAAACTGATACAGTACTTTCTATAATTTCTCAAACACTCATATAACATTCTTTTTCACACGAATTAATTCTCAAACAAATCAAATTACATATAATTTCCGCTGTAACTTATTCAAAGACAATTACTTTCCTCATTCCTTCGAACACTTCCGCAGCATTTATGTCTAACGTAAATCGATATTCAAAATGCAAGTCGTAAATAATTTCCTTTCCCATCGATAAAGACAATTAATCCAACAGAACCTATATAGTTGCCAGCAGCAGCAGCAGCAGCGAGCAAATAAAAATTTCTCTTGTAAATTCCTGAAGATTCGCGCGACGATCGAGCACACGAGATATTGCGTTGCTGATGGATCCACGGGAGGTCGGAGGCGACGTTTCGATGGCTCGGGGCCCTCCTGGGTCTGAGGAACGTTGATCTTCGCGGGAGTAACGGTTCCGTGGCGGAGATCCACGCGTCGTTGCAGGGGAAGGCAGAAAAGCGAAAGCCGTTAAGCGTTTTTCCACGCTTTAGCATTGCGAGCCTTCGGAACCCTTGTGCGTCCTCTTTAGGAATGCTTTTTCGATGGTACTTTCTTGCTCGAGTAGCCGCGTGCTTCGGAGAGTTCGAATGTTTGAGCCGTTTCAGGTGGATTTCAGGGGGAATTGGTGTTTGCGTTGAAGGGCCATTTAATGGTGGTAATTTGTTACTTTTTTATATATTTTTTATGGTAGTATAGTTAGGATATAAAAGTATGTTGTTGTTTTTGTTTTGGTTTTTGCTTTTGTCATTACATTTATAACATACAAATCACATAACAAAGTTTCATACATACCCAAAAACAATTCCAATTTACGAAATTTTATTTCATCACATTTTCTGCTTCCATAGAAAATGTTTTTCGTCTAAAAACATTCGTCAATCTTCACACAACGAAACTAAACAGTAGACACCACAAATAGTAATACATTTATTTATCATCAATATTATTCATATTAATACTTCTACATAGAAAACCGACAAAACACGAACAACAATAAGAAAAATATTCTTACCTGGTAGAATCATGTTCTATAATCTGCCAGCATCCTTCATGAATTCTCGCGTAATCTCGTAGTTCCCAGCGAAGGGTGCCGAATTTCCTTCGAGAAACATGGTAGAACCCTCGCTCTTCGGATATTCCCATTAAATTAGCGGCACGTGTTGCGAAAGAGCGCGCCGAAAACCGCTCGTTGAGATAAATCTCCATTTCCTCCCTCAGTTGTTCGGCGAACGCTCGCTTGGACCCCGACACCGTCGTTGGTGTCGACGTTACAACGGTTTCTTGTCGCGTCTTCGAAGTCGCGGCGTCGCCCATCAGTTGCTTGTATACCTGTAAAGCATCCCCTTCTACAATACTGTGTACATTCACGGTGATTCGCGCTACTCCCGCTATAAATCCGTTGTCGCCTTTTCTTTCCCCTCGAGCTACGCCTTAACGAAGAAGGATCCCGATCTCGTATACGAGATGTTCTATGATTCTCTGAAAACATCCTCAGTCTTGAGGATGAATATATAAATGTCTTGTTTTAATTCTTCTTCTCTTGTTCTCTACGAGTTATCTTTTCTTTTCGACGATTTTGTTTCAGTAAGTTATTCTGCAATAGTTACCAGAATATAGTGTGTAAAATACTAATAGTTGTTTTTTATAGGAAGAACTGGAGAAATAGAATATGTTTGGAATTAGGACTTCGGTTATTTTTTTTCTTTTAGAAGAAAATATTTGTGTATTGTAATATTTGGAAATTTTTGTTCTTTTTGAGACTGAATATGTACAATTTCTGGTTGTTAGAGTTCAATAAACAAAGTACAACAAGAAGATTTTATTCAGAATTTTAGTTATAAAAAGAGAACATCGTTTCACAAAGTAACAACGTATTACTTCACAAAATATTGAAATAAATGAGTATTTATCAAACAATCGACTATTTCATGTATCTACGCCGATCAACAATTTGTAAAGAAAAGAAGCAGATTTCGGATGCAAAGCTTGAAGACGGAGGAAAGAGCACCGTGTAATAACGTACCGTGAAAAGCTGGTATCTTCTCTGTGATTCCTGCAAGATAAAAAGCTGCTGTACCGTGAATGTAAAACAAAAGCGAAATTTTGTTCATTCCCCAGGACCCTTTGTCTCTTTCTCCCGATTCCCACGATTCCGGGCGTCTCGGAATAAGTCCTCCGTTCCCCGTGACGGAGGAATTATATCGTGGAAGTAATTCCGCGAGAAAACGAGTGTAATTCCTCTTTTTCTTTTTCCTCGCGGGGCAAACAGAATTTTCGAAAGGCGCGGGATCGCGGACTCGGATCTAAACGACGAAGAATCCTATTTAGGGAGACGGCAGGATGGGGAACCAGGGGAAACAGTGGAATTACATTTGCACGCGTTAGTAACGTGCCACGTGAGAAACATTCTAGCTGCCGCCATATTGTCGGTCGGTGGGATGCGTGTGGTTTCCTTCGGTCTCGTGATTTAGATCCATCGAAATGAAGGCTTTTTGCTGGGATTAGGTTGCATTGTTTTGATGAAATGAAGGATTCTGGATTTTATGTTGAAAGAAGTTTTAGAATTTTGTGGAATTATTTTGAATGCCCAGCTGCATATTGTTTAATTATGATTTTCTTTGCAGCTACAGTTGATAGAGTTATTCTACTGTTTATAATTCACTCAGAAAAATCTACGTTTATTCGGAAGCATCGCAATTGATAATAGCAGAATAATTTGGACTTGGAGAAACTAGATGACGTTTATATTTGTTAAATTCTATTTGAAATTTTCGTCATGGTTAACTAAGGTTAACTTTGATTTTTTAATTGTAACGGTATTCTAACTAACAGTATTGTTTTTTTTTCTGTTTCAGAATTGGGTGGACGATAAGAAGAAATCTAACGATATTTGGTAAGTGTTTTAAATATTGAATAAAAGTAATGAAGATTTAGATATTTGAGATATTTGAATGAGACAAAGTATCTGCCACTACAATAGAATCTCGTTTAACCAGATACTCACCTTCGAAACCTAAACATTAGCATCTCCTCAACATGAAAATCCACTAAATCCTAAAAATTTACAAGCGAATCTAATCAGTAGATTAGAACGTCGTAGAAAATATACGACGGTCAAAGAAAACCTAACGGAATTTGCATATTCTATTCGTCGGATGGGTTTAAATGGAGTTTGGACTCCGCTCTAGGGGTTGATCCCCTTTACACGAAATTCTGCCGCGCGCAAACGTCGGGAATCATGTGTACACCGTGGCAAGAAGTCGGGTAAAGCTGGCGGAGAGAAAGACAGAGCTAGGGGAGCATCAGAGGGGTAGAGAGAAGACTGAAAAGGCAAAGGAGCGCGCGCGCGCGTGTTTGCATGTGTGTGAGGCAAGAGTGAATATATAACGAAAAGAAAAAAAGCTATAGATGCAAAAGAAAGATGAAGAGAAGCAGTGAAGCAAGGGAGAGAAGGAAAGAGGCTAGAAAAGCAACAGGCAGAGCAAACGAGAGCTAGAGAAGTAATAAACAAAAAAAGGTAAAGCTAGAGAAGCAACAGATAGAGCAAGGAAGAGCTAGAGAAGCAATAAACAGAAAAAGCAAGAGCTAACAAAGCAACAAACACAACGAGTTAGAACTAGAAAGGCAATATAGAAAAAGAAAGAGCTAGAAAACCACCAGACAGAGAAAGCAAGAGCTAAAGAAGCAACAGACACAGCAAATCAAAGCTGAAAAGGCAACACAAAGAGAAAGGGAACTAAAAAACCACCAGATAGAGAAAGGGGAAGCTAGAGAAGCAACAGAGAGAAAACTAGAGCCAGAACAGCCACGAACAGAGATAGGAAAACCTAGAGAAGCATCAGACAGAAAGAGAGATAGGAATTACACAGGACAGCGATGCCTTGACGAAAACGTGGGAAACCGAGGGGTGGTTCACCCCGTAAAATCCCGTAACACCCATCGGCCGTACACGTGTACAACGTTGTTGGTCCAGGTACAAAATGACGTGCACCAGCAGCAGTCGTAACAGCGGCAGCGAAAGCTCGCTCGCACGCTCGCGCGCAGATCATATGCGGTGCCCGTTCCCCAATCCTCTTATTCCGATGCATTGAAAGCTTCCGGGCTTTTCGAGGCACGAGAGCGTATCTCGTGTAAACAAATGCGGCCTGCTTCCGCGGACCGGAGAAATCCACTCCCCCGCGCCGTTAGAACAGGAAACGGATGAACAGATTTCGAGGAATACGCTGGGCTCGCCATTTTCAGCCGCTGAATGATGTTCTAGCCGAACTACATACCCGGTGTTTTTGAAATCATCGACTGTGAGCCTAGAATAATTATTTTTGTGGATTGATGGATTATGTTGGGGAATTTCGGTTAATTCTTTTTGAAATCTTTGGAGCTGTTTCGATAATTAGTTTGATATGGAGATAAATCATTAAGAAATTAACGTTAATAATGTATATTATATGTAGGTGATACTATATTTTATTCGTTAATTGTTTAACTTTCTAATTGATAATGGAAAGCTAGAGATGGTAAAGTAAAAAGATCAAGGTAAAATTAAGATAAAAATTCTCATTTTGAATACTTCGAGTATTAAAAGTTGAATATTTCGAAATATAATTTTACAATTCAACGACTATTTCACTCGAATATCTCAACAAATCAAGTACCAAATTCTTACAATAACACATTACGTTATAAATTCCAAAAAATTATTCTAATGTTCTTGTTTAGTGTTACTTCGACGATTCTAAGAAGAATTTTTTCTTTCTTCTCACTTAACGGCTGAGAAACAGTAGAATTCTGATTCGACGTAATTGTCGCGAGGAACGAGCAGCGTAACCGCCGCACTCGACCGCGCAGAATGAAAAAACCACGAGTTGAGGCTCATTTTCCCTCGACGAGGCGCGTTACCATCCGCTCGAAAATGTTTCGCGCCGCGCGAGAAACGCTGAATGCTGGCCCCGCGACCCTCGACCGTCTTCTGAATAACTTCTCCCGACGGAACAAACGTTAACCTTCTCGCTCCGCCGCGTTTCCGCGGCGAGACGCGCGGAACTCGAACGGAATAAGGTAAACACGTTTAGAATTCAACTGCAATAAATACGCTCGCACGAAAAAGGAAACCTGTATACTTGTGCCCTTTCGTATGCGTATGGGGTGAGACGCGCGCGGTTATGCGGGTAGATTTCAGACGCATTTTATTGTCTCTGGAGGATCAGAGTTGCACTTGAACTTCTTGAGGGGTCGATTTGTACCGTCTACCTTTTTAAATGGGGGATGTTTCGTTTTAAGATTTTTCGAAATACAGGATTTTTGATTTTATGATTTCTTGGAATAGATGATCTTTCATTTTGACACATTCGCGGGCGTGAATATCATTCATTTTCATTGTGATGCAAAATAACAGGAATACTATAACATTCAAATTTATAACCCTAATTATCGTGCATTTATTTCTATATAACCTCTTGCATTTATAACAAAAATTTGGATATTACAATTAATTTAAAAATATATCATCTGCTTATTTTTGTAACTCGTTAAAATTTTTACTGTCCGTGAACATGTTAAGATTTTTTGGAGTGGAGATTCTTGGAAAAATAGATTTTTTAATAGTTGTTTTTAATGTGTTATTTTAAAGAGTTTTTGTATAGAAAAATGTCGATTGGTAGGTTTGGAGATAAGGGAAGATTAGAATATTTTTTAGCAGAATTTTGATTAATTTCTGTAGAGAAGAATATTAATTGTTAGTTGTTTTCTTTTTTGCAAGGAAAATATTTGCTGTTATTTATTGTTAATAGTGCTGACTGTTACTTCTTGAACAACTGGTTAACAAAATCACGCGTGGACGACAGTAGCCATCGATATCTTAAACCCGCAGTAACATACTTTTACTTTTGACAATAAAAACGGAACGATATACAAACGAAGAAATATGCAGTTCACCTCGACACAGAATTAACGAAGACTTTAAAAAATTGAACAACCATTTCCGTCGCGATTAACGAAGTATAAAAACGAGGCTGTGGTGCAGTGGTTCCCAAGCTTTTGTTTCTTTCCAAAATTAACTATTCTATCCGTACGTTCTCCAAGATGGCGGATTTTCAAAACCAACGATTTCTTTCAAAAATTACAATGTTATAAAACTTACAAATTTTTCAATAAAATATAAATATTCTCCGACCTAACAAAAATCAACTCCGAACCAACCCAACTCGTCCAGCCAACCGTTCTCCAAAATATTGCATATTCAAAAATAACAGTTCGATAAAACTATCGATACCCATAACCAACTACTCCCAACAGAATATCATAAATATTCCCTAATCCAACAAAAATCAACTCCGAACCAACCTAACTTGTCCAGCCAACCGTTCTCCAAGATGGCGGATTCTCAGCACACGCGTCGCGTACAAGTAAAAATGGCGTCGCGACAAGTCCTTCGCCGTTATCGGTTGTCGCTGGAATATCAGTACATGGAAAAAAAGGGTGAATGCGTCGCGCGTGTTGCTAATTTATTTACGATCGTTGCGGCCGACTTTATTGTCTACAGCGCGGCCTGGCCATTAATCGCGTCGTTCGGCTCGATTATTTCCTCGCCCCGTTCGAACGGGGGACACGAGGCACGGGAGGAGAGCACAGAAAGAAACTCGATAAACGACCTGTTAATTTGTTGTAAGTTAGCCGCGCGATCGGGACCGTGCCGTGCGCAGGTACCGTACGGGGGTAGCCACTAAATGCCACTGGAAACCGGTTCCCGAGGCGGCATGTACGAGTTAGGACGTGCAGCGCGTTGTTCGATTTATGTACGGCGCACCGTCGACACGCCGATACACAAAGGTGACTCGCGTTAATCGCGGCTTTATCCATACATGGGAAAATTCCCCTTCTCTGTCTCTCTTTGTTCTGTTTCTTGCTTCTTTCAGCTTGGATCGGTGAATTGAACTTCGATGGAGGGAAATAATGAAGCATGCTTCTCGTGATTTCTTTATTCTTTTGGTTCTTTTGGGATCAGAGTATCTGTTTCTTTTGTTTTATGAGAGTTTTATGTTGTATGGGATTGTTGGTCATTAGCGGTGATTAGATCTGAGAGTATTACAGATTGTTGTTGTGGGGTTTTTGTAGGGTTTTGAATTAGTTTTATTACAAGTGAAAGATTATCATGTATAATCTAATCCCATTAGAGCCATACACATTGTAGCATCGGCAATGCACAACTTTTGCCTATGTCAAAAATCTCAAATAACATCATTACTAATGTATATCGTCATTATTACACTAAGAAATACTGTTCGTCCATCGAGTGAAGTCTCGCGGTTCAATCTGCCCTCGATTAATCCCTCTAGAAGCGATTGCTTTCGCCGTACGGAAAAATTGCTTCCCTGACCCGAGACTTCTTAGCGCTCTCAACTTTCCAGCTCGATCTTCTCAATTTGTATCAAGAGACCGATACCTCTTATCGGCCGAACACGGTTGTGCTTTCATTGAATAGCACCAGGGACACGGGTCTATCGGAGGGCCATCAATAAACCGAGTAATGAGATTCAGGGTGTATATACTTTAGAGGACGTCGTCGCGTTGCGTAATGCGTCGGCTCGTTTCAATATCCGGACGACTGTGCTCTGGGACCCGGTACGCGACCGTGCCTCGATATTCTTAACACGATGACGGTGTACTTTAATTCAGTACGTCGTTTCGTGGTCCCTTGACGAAAAAAGCGATGGGAAAAAACGAGGAAAGAAACGAGTGAATGGGAAAATGAAGTCTGAACTTAGTTTATATTCCCTGGTGGATTTTCTGGGAAAGAAATTGTAATAAATCGAAATATTTGTTTATTTATATATTTATTTGTTTATTAAGTAAGTTGTTAGTAAAGAAAGTGATTCTTTTTCATAAAAATGTTTCTTT